TTCGGCGATTTTTTGCTACCGAAAAGAATGGATTAAAGAACTTGCATCAAATTTTGTGTAAAAAAAGGTAACTGTTCAACATTCCAAATGTTGACAGTGGCATACGGTGATTGTATTCTGAGTCAGAAAAATGTTCACAAGTGGTAGAAGCTTTTCACAAAAGGTCGAGAAGATGTGAATGACGACACTCGCCCTGGATGCCCCACAACATCAATCGATGAAAATGACGAGGTGAAGAAAATTGTTATGGAGAATCGTAGAGAAGTTGCGGAGGAAATCGGCTGGCTCATGATCTTGAAATGAGTTTCGGAAATTTTGGGCATGAAGCGTATAGCTGCATGCTTTGCTCACTCACAGGCTTTGCTCACTGTTTTCTTCGATAACCGTGACGTAGGGCATCAGGAGTTCTTGCCACATGGTCGTACGGTCAATAAGGAGCATTATCTTGAAGTACTTGCTTGTTCGTAATTTTTTGGACAAAAACAACACCGTAATCATGCCTCAGTCACCGTATACACCAGATTTGCCCCCTGCGACTTTTCCCAAGATTGAAGAGACCCATGAAAGGATGGCGTTTTGCGACGATTGAAGTGACTGATGTGAGTGAATGATGAATTTCATTAGTTTGGAATTCCATTATCTAATATTATATAAAACGATTTGAATTCTCTGAAAGAACCAATACAAACGAAAAATTAAAAAGAATTGCTCAAAAAACAATTATATTAACACTAGGAGGCATGACCTCATTTATCCATATCATACATTGAGACTTACTGAAAAATCTCCCTATTANTACTTCTGGGCCTTGTCTCCTATATTAAAAAAATCAAGTCAAGCTTGTTATAGTCTCAGTATCCAATACAAGAAATCTAACTTTTATAGTACTGCCAGATATGGTATTATACTTTGGGGTGACAGTTCCAAGACCAAAAGAATTTTCGAAATTCAGAAAAGAGCAAATCGTATCATGAGTAATTCAAAACTTTTAGAGTCTTGTTGAGGTTATCTCAGGAGGATGGAACTTCTGGCGATACCGAAAAACAATATTTTATGACATTTGAAGCAACGCACTCATATGGCACAAGGCATGTATCTAATTATAATGTACCTGCCTAGCACTCAAAAAGTGCTTTATACCCCTACATTGAATTTTATAATCATTTACAATTAGATATTATCGAGAATAGTGATTTTAATTGAATAAAAATAAAACTCTTCTCAGAACTCTTGTAGACTTAGAGCCGTACACTATTGATGATTATCTACAATTTGTATGTTATAAATAGTTAAAGTCTGGCATAATTGTTTTTTGTCGTATTTTAGCGCAATAAAGTTATTATTATGTGACAGAAAGCAAGTTACGTACTTCAATAAACAATGTTCCGATTAATCATCGGCGGAGTTTGGAGTTCCCCAGGGCTTGGTACTGGTTCCGTTACTGTTCCTGTCCTACTTCAATGACTTACCTGCGTGAAGTGATGACAAAACCGCCAGTTACTAAATACCAATAGATATAAACCCCTTCACAAGCTCAAAGCTTATTGTGTGGCCTGTTTCAAACATCATCGTGAAACAGGGCCACACAATAAGCTTCGATGACACAAAACCATTGCCACCGAAAAAACTCTCCAGGCCAGAATAATTCACGAAGCCATTGAAATTGAAAAACGTCCCAATTGCCTCGTTTTTGCTTCAGACATGATATCGGTCACTGAGCCAAAAGCTTGATTATTCATAACTTTTGATTTTTGGGAGAGACAATGAAATTTTCCTTATATTAAAAAGCTATGCAAGCAACTTGTTTTTCATTATACTTAATTTTCGCAAGCATGGCTTTTCTGAACGATATTAATGACAATGTCTAAAAAAAAGAGTGATCAAAATGCAATAGCATTATTCAATATAAAGTGATAAAACACAGAAATACATATATATTCTGAACTGAACTGCCACATAAGGACGGGTAGAAATAGTTAGGCAGAAGTATGTGAGAGAGATCTATCTCAGCTCATCCTCATCACTGACAAATTAGAACTTCACAATCTCCTGCCCAATACTGTTTCAACTAGTTAGAAAATGAATCTCGCCTGAAAATAATATCTTTTCACTTTGAAAAGAACAAATTTTCATTCAACTCTTAACTGTACAGCGTTTGAGATTATCATCTAAAGCACCGTACATAAGTAAACAGAAGTAAATTCACTACCGTCGGTGTCTTTGATGTTTCGGATCGAGATTTTATTTTTTGCTGACATGTGGCGGGGCAGGCGGGTGTCGGCTAAGAGCTGTTGTGCACCTCTGCACGAGGTTCGATCAAAAATATGTGACCATGATCTGACTTCATCATTGCTACGAGGAGCTCCCAATAAATCTCTCATATGATTGTGAACTGTTTAGGAATTCATAAAAAATAAGACAAGGTGGTGAAATAAACGTATATTTTATGTAGTAAGATTATACAATTTAGGTCAAAAACTTATGCTAATATATTTTTTTTTGATTTTTTTCTAACATTTGTTTTCAAATTTCTATTGGCAATTTCAAAGTATAATAAATTCATACCCTTGTGAAAACAGAAAATAAATAATCCAAAGGAAAATTATCTCAATCAGTGGCACATACATTGTTGAAATGATTAAGAAATTCTGTCTCTAGATGAATGATACATTGTAAAAATGAATCTGGAGGCATGTATAAACTTCCAAACTGTTTAGCTACTGTATTACTATATGCCTTGAAACGACTATATACCTACATTTGTTTCATTCAGTGTCGTACTAGCCGCCGTGGCAAAATTTGTACATACTTCTCATGAAGTATGTGCATTTTCTCAAAAGATATCCACAAACATAGCCCAAGCTGTTGCCTTCTGGAGTGGCTAGAGTTCCATAATCATTTATCTCTACTCTCAAAGGTTTATATGGATGTTTTGGAACTTACACAAGAATCTTCATTCTATTTATGTATACATCTGTAATACTAGATAGAATCTCACTAGTATCTTCTAGACAGTTAGTTCCTTCTGCCTGTGTGAAATACTGAAGAGTAAATGTGTTTTTATGTTGTAAATCAAAACTTCAATATAAAATACAGATTTCTTGGTTTTGGGTTGCCTAGTTTGCTAATTATGAAGTGTGTCAATCGAATGAAATTCTAATGTTTTTTGTTATTGACAGAATTTAAGAAAAGACATTTCTGCTATTTATAGTAGATTATCGGGAACATATAAATGGAAAGTAGGCTCCAAAAAAGGTTATTTGAATATACATTTGATACTTTAGTTTTGCAAAGATTTCAGTGGAAGTAATTGTTTTCCTTCAGATACAAATCGAAACTTGATGTGGTTCAACAATTATTTTCCTTTGTGGATTTCCAGTGGAACTGACGGCATATACTATTCGTAAAGTTCAATTTCATCAAATTAAATTCAAAATAAAAAGCCTGCATATTAATGACTTCACTATATATGGTCTATAACAATTTATTTTATGATTTTCATTATATGTTCATTACTTCAATCTTACATAATAAATAATAGAGAAACATACCTTTTTTCGTCAATTGGAAATCGAAAAAAATGAATGCCGACATCACCCTGCAAATTACAGCAACCCACAGCTTGACAGTTGCTCATTTTGAATAAATATAATATTCCTGCCTCAATTTGGCTCGCTTGGTAAACGCCTCAGATTCAGTCGGTTGCGCTGTAGTTCGGCCGCGCATAAAATTCGAGGTGGGGAATCTTGACCCAAATATGGCGTAGAGTGAATTTACTGGTGTTTACTTATATACTGTATCTGAAGTAACTTTCAATGTGTGGAATTAGTGAATTGTTTTTTAACATTCTACTTCTTCATCTTTATACAAAAACTAATCTCTCCTAAAAAAATATACCCCTTTCAATTGAGTATATTCCTGTTTTCTTTCTTGGGGTTCAATGGCATCGACTGCTTGGTCATTAGCCTTGTGTTCTGGATGGACAATGTTAATAACTCTCCGAGGTACCTAGAGAGCTTAACTATTCGCAGTCCGTCAGCCATGTAACGTTAAAGAATCATCCTAATTCTCTCGATTAAAAACATATGGTCGCCAATTCACCGCTGTATATTGCTGTTATTTCAACATGTACCCCTTTCAATAACTACCTCAGTTTGACACCATTATAGTGTTAAAGCAGTTTTACGGGCTTTTTGGCCATGGTCTGTGCTAGACATTACCATAGGCGTTGGGAACAACACTCGAGCACTTTGACCGTTACGTCATCGCCTTTGATGTCTACCGCAGTAGTAGACAAAACATCAGGCATAAAAACCTGCAGACCACGCACAAAAAACCCAGAAAATAGCTTCAACACAGTTATCTCCGGCTGTGAAAATTTATATTCTACTATCATTGTTGTCCGTTACATACCTTATAATTTTTATCATAACTTTGAAATACATATTGTTATTGTTGAGTAACAAAAACTAATTGTTTTCAAGTACAAAAATTATACAAAGAAGCTAATGTTTTCTGCTACAGACTATTTAAAAAAAAATTGTCCTCTGTGAAACCAGTTGAAATTTATGAACAAATACTACTAGTATCAGTGTTTGGGGGCAGTTTTAGGTGATATCACGAGGAAGGTGTATTATAAAGTAGCAGAAAAATACTAAATGTTTTCAAATAAAAAGTTTTTAATTCCGGTTAGGTCACAAAGATGTTACAATACTCCGGTCCACCCTCAAAATAATTAAGTCTTTCATAAATGATGAACATATAGCTAAATTGATATCCAAATCGATGTAATTCAAAAAAGGTTAGCCGAGATCATTGGGATTGTATATAAAATAAGAAACTATATCTCTTTGAAGCATCTGAAGCTGATTTAATTCTTACTCATTCCTTCAAAACTACAGTGTTCAATTAGAAACCCAGGCTTGTCAAAAAATTAAATTTTACAATAACAGATTATCGACATCAATTTACTGTTATGGTCAAACAAAAGTGCTATAGAATAATTAACACATGAACATATATTAATAACTTTTACTTGCGGAATTACCTACATAATTATAATTCGCTCAATTTAAAAGTTAAGCAAAAGATTTTCAAAAAGGTGATAAATCGATATTTCAAGAAGTGTTCGTATGTATCAGGAAATAAAAAAAAAAACAAAAAAACTGCTAAAATATATTGGTACAAAATATGACAAATTTAAAAATACTTGTTACTTGTTTGTGAAATTATTCAAGAGATGGATAAATGATTAGTTAGATAAATGTTATGTAATATTCTCTCTTGAAATAATTGGGAACATGGATATAGAAATACTGTATTACCAAATATGACAAGATAATGTTTCAAAATCTCTCTTATTCCTCCTGATAACTTTAGAACAAATGAGATACCAAAGTAAGTGCGTCACTGGTATCAATGAAGTTGCCCCGGAGCGCCAATTAATTTTTGTATTTTGGAAGTGTTATTACATCATTATCTTTTAATAAAAATAGTCAGTATAGCTTGCCATATCAATACATTTTTCAAATCAAATGGGATGAAACTAATGAAAATAATTTTTCTGCTCAACTTTTCTCTTTTGAGTGACGTTTGGAAATATCTCGTTCCATTTCCAAAACTTGTCTTCTCTTCAAAACCAGATTGAATAAAGAATTTTATAATTGCCTTTTGACATAGTAGACACTAACAGATATACGAAATATAATTCTTATTTGACAACTTCTGAAAACTTGCAAGTGATTTTTATTGGTGTTATTTTTTATTTTTCAGATCGTGGAATCTTAAAAACAAAAAGTTCAGAAAACACTTATGATTTTAATTTTGTATCAAAACTATTTGAATGAAAAGATGAAATAACCCAATTAAAACACTTTTTTAATCTAGAGTTTATTTTTTTTAAATCTCACATTGGGTTGAAAATCGACAAAATTGTTCTTAGACCCAACTTTAAACTATAACTGAAAACTTTGCAACAAATTAGAAAACATTCAAGAACATATACTTTTTTCATTTAGGACATTTTTGTCAAAATGGCTGTGTTAAAAAATACTGAAATAGGTGCCTTTTTAACAAAAACCAACTTACGCGAACTTGATATCTTCCATTGTGTTCAAAAGTTAACAGGATAATGATTATTTATATCATTGGAGTATATCAGAAAAGAAAGTCAAATTTCATTTGAAATGATAAAATATACCTAAGAGCGCAATATAAAGTTGATTATATCACAAGGTCCAACTTATTTTTCCACATTATTTTTCAGTCTCATAATAATAGCATGTTTTAGGATGTTAAAAGTTCAATAAACTGAGTGAAAATGCGTCATTCCAGATCTCTTTTGAATTTTTGTTTCAACAGTTTTTTAATAATTAGGGTGTTTCATATTCTTATAATGGATTTTAATAGTTTCGTAATACTTTTCTTTCTGGAAGGTTACGAAATAGTTGGCAAAACTAAATGGTAAATTAGTGAAAAGCAAACAGGCTCACTCTGACAACTGACTGGTGACACAAAGGTTGAGCCTGAAGTTTACTGGTGTTTTGAAAAATCTTTTAATTTTCAACAATTGATATCATACTACACAAGTAGTCCCTTATATTTTCTTTTTCACTGTTACTGGTACTTTAACACCCATGAGATTGCACAACTGATTACGAACAGGCCTAACATCCTCAACAGGCTTTTCCCAATCTGTTCCACTCAGAAGGTTCATGACATCATCAATGTTTTCAGAACTAATGTTGCTGCTTTCGCCATTCACAAGCAGAGATTCATATAGCTTATTTGAGGTTGTTCGTCTAATATAGGGCTGTCTATGACATAATAGAATACTCAGTTGGACTAGGGCTATATCACATACTTCGCCTTTTACCTGAAATATGACAAAAATCAGTAATGAGCTTGTAATGAGTAATACTTATACATTTCCTGATTACTGATCAGTTAAAATTCATTATTTTCTGTATAGTGTTAGATATTTATTACAACTAGTGGCAACGCTATACGNCTGATCTTGCCAAACTTTCGAGATGGTATGACCCTCATTGACCCATATTTCATCCAAATAAAAAATATATTTACCTAGCGCTCTGGCTTTCTTTATTTCTCTCAAATACTTTCTTCTCCATTCTACAATCTCTGATTTTTCTATTAACATGCTCTTAACATATTTAACATATTCAGCCCATGTAATATCATCCATAATCGAGTTCTTCTTATATCAGGAAAAAACTGTCTTCACGAATAACTGACAAAATGAATATTACTGGAGTTTTTTCCCAACACCAAATCGTTATTTTTACACCTCAACACGTGTTTCGATCACCAAGTGATCATCTTCAAGAGGAAGATAAAACTGTTTTAGAGATATATAGATAAACTATAGAGATAATGGAGACCTTTGGAAAGTTTCATAGTAATTATCTAGTAGAAAAATTTCAATAGCAAACCTGTAAATGGCAGAGTGTGTCATGTATTACCTGTTGCTCGTATAAATGTAAATTTATTACCAAAAAAATTAAAACAACTTATTAATTATCTTAAAATTAATTCTTGTGCCCTGAAATATTTTTTATCCAAATCTAAAGGGGTCGATTCCAACCATTGGTCTATCTGACGTTGAATTACCCACTTATTCTTTTCAGCAAACCCTTTCATTGGATAATCATATTACAGAAGTGCATCAACAATACTGCCCACCATCTTGAGCGGTCCGTCGTATTGGATTCAGAGCGAAGTAATTTTATATTTTGTCTACTTCTCAGCACACCCTTTAATTTGATACCCATATCAAGAGGGTTCCTCCAAAAATAAATTGGATGTATAATGGCGGCACTCAATCGCGCATTGTCATCCAAACTAAACATAAATACAAAATTCTAACACAATCAGTTGCGGATAAGCGTTTCAAAATGTAATTACATGATTTGACTAGAAATGACATATACATTCAAAACAAGTTAAATAAAAACAGGAATAAGGCAAACTGATGAAATTCTGTCACTTAACGATTAGAAAGTGATGAGAATTATGCATGTGATTTGGATGTAGTGAAGTAGGAGTATATTGATTCAGAAAATAAACTCACCTGAATGTACTGACAAAGAACTGTGATACCATCAATCAACTTATAAATATCTTTACAACCTGCTATCTCTACCTGAATCAGTTTCAAGGTTTTCTTGATAAATTCGAATTCTGAACTAGAATCTGCCATTATCAATTCAATACAGCCAGAATCAAATAATTTATCGAGGAATCTAAACATTGACACTGTTATCCTGTCTATTTTTTGATGTTCAATGAATATTTTTAGAATTATATCACATATCCTTTGAATTTCTGGTAATCCTTTGACATCAACTTCCGATTTGAGGTAAGTAAATAAAGATGAGCTTGAATTTTTCACCTGAAAATAATAGAGAACATTTATTGTTGGAACGTTTTTAAAATATATAAACAATTTATGTTGCTATTTTGCATGTTAAGTTTGTTGGTGAGATGCATAAAAGTTTTAAAAGGTGTTTTGCGTGTTCCGCGATTTTCTGCTATCGAAAAAAATGGATCAAAGAATTTACATAAAATTATGTATAAAGAATAGAATTGAGTGTTCAAAAAACACTTGAAATGTTGACACTGACAAACGGTGATAGTAGATCAACTATAAGAAAGTTGGAACGATGTTTGTTCATGTGTATGGCTCGGTTAGCGGCGGCGTTATCGCTGCTTGATAGAAAATGACTTGAGCGCGCTTGAAATGATATGAGAACAATAATAATTGGGTATACAGGGTGTTGTTTCAAAACACACTAATCAAATGCTATACAGGGAGTGCAGAATTAAAGAAAAAAATTGTTGTTAACGTTAAAAAAAAGAACATGGCGTCAATGTGTACATGAAAAAAACAACTTCAATGTGTACGAGGTGTGACAAAAATACATTATTAGGAAAAAACCATGACAGTTTGATGGGACCCAAACGTTTCAACATGCGATTTCTCAATGTGTACAGGGTGTCTCAAAATACATAATTGAAGAAAAACACCATGACGTCAATGTGTATAAGGTGTGGCAAAAAACACTTTGGGAAAAAAACATGGAAGTTTACGGAGCTCTAACGTTGCAACGTGTGATCCCTCAATGTAGACAAAGTGTTTCAAAATATATCATTAAAAAAAAGGCGTCAATGTGTACACATTATTTGTGAAAAAACATGACAGTTTAATGGAGCCCTAACGTTTCGAAGTGCGATCCCTCAATGTGTACAGGGTGTGGCAAAAATACATTATTTGGGAAAAACATGACAGTTGGGAAAAACATGCCAGGACCCTAACGTTTTAACATGCGATCTCTCAATGTGTACAGGATGTTTCAAAATACTTCATTCAAGAAAAAACATGATTGCGCGTGTGTTACATCATTTTTATAAGAAAATGTATGAAATTTTTCGGTTGTCAACATCATCTATCATCGATGATGGTCGCCAATATATTAATTAACGATCGCCCATCATTTCGAGGAGAGTCCAAATCTACAATAAAATGGTCATTTCCGGTTTTCACTTCCGGTCGTCCGATTTCGATAATTTCAGCAACATGAAAATAAAAATCATAGGTATGTAGCATGCACTTCCTTTATTTTGGAAGTATATCATAAAGTCATTTATATGAACATCATGTTGAGAGTTATGTTTTGAGAAAAAAATGGGGAAGTGTTGGTAATATTCCTGACGTATGATATACTTTTGATTGGCGATTTGAGGATAAAAGTAAGGTTACGAAAAAATTAGATAACCTTTGTCTCTCATGAATTACATCGTACCACCTTAAGGGTGGTAAGGGTTTTATGCTGATGTTGCTGAATCGACCTGAAGACTCAACTCCATTTATATATCAGTCAGTAGCTAGATTTCATACAGTCAACATCTCTCTGTAATTTAGAATTTTCAGTTTGTAATAAAAATATATTTTTTAAAAAGTGACTTTGTGTGTACGTTAATATATTTGGCGCAGTCGTGGTAGGATTATCAGAATTTTTTCGAATCGTTCGTGCAATTTTCGTTTCTACGATTAACTAATTTTCGAACTGATATCAACTTGGTGCATCGCTGTTTTGACTTTCTGTTCCGGAGTGGCTTTTCAACTACCAGAACACCCAGTCTATCGCAGACCCGCACACAGCCTGACAAGGAGCATATCATCAAAACTTGGGACCAACATAGCCCGAATTTGCAAGGAACAACGGCCTGGAAAAGACAAAATCGCTGAACCAGTCGTCGTCCTTATAGAAGGATAAGTACGAAACATGAACAGTCGCTTTCATACTTTTGTAAGCAGTTGTTCGTGTCTTTTGACGATTTAATCAACAATCTTGAAAATTTGAATTTAAATTCGCCTTCAATTGACTCACATATACTTTTTAACTCCTATCTCTAGCCAAACCACCCATATACATACAACCAATTCTATAAATTCACCTAATAATCAATCAATAATAATGAATCAATTCAGAGCAGAATACCTCAACTGCATCCCTGAATTTGATGGTAACCCTAATGACCTCACAAGACTCCTTGTGACGTCATTAGGGTTACCATTTTAACTCAGTTTTACGAAAATGCAAACCCCAATAACTTCCAAAATATTTTTTTTGGAAATTCCATTATTTATAAATTGAAGGGCAATGCCAAAATGTTAGTTAACATTCTAGGTGTGAAAGAATTGAAAGATTTGAAAGATATTCTTAGTAGAAATTTTTCTGATCAACGAGATGAAGTCTGCCTCAATAGAGATCTTGTAATGATAAGACAATCTGATACTTAAAATGCTCAAAGTTTTTACGATAGATGCCTTGATATCTTGAATTTGCTTTGTAGTTTTGTTAACTTTCATGAAACTACAGATACCGCTAAAGAACTCAAAAGAAGTTTATACCAAAGTTTAGCTCTCAAAACGATTTTATCAGGGCTCAAAGGATCTTTAGGTAAATGGAAAATGGCGACAAGTGTGAAGTTACTAGCGGGTCTCCTCGAATATTTCATCCGTTCAAAATCAAATCATGTGAATTATAAAGTGAAAAGTGCATCAAATGCATCAGCATATCGGACTCTATCATATGCGTAATTATCTTTCGAATTGTTCAGCTGGTTCATCCACATTCCATTTTGCAAGATACATTATTAGAATATTCAACTTTATTTCAACGTACGATCTAAGAAGTCGTGAGGTTTTTTGCTGCAATCCAACAAATATCTGTGCGCAAAACGAATCACTCATTGGATCGCTCAGGAATTTGTCACTATCGAGCTGCCATCTATGCCTCATTAGTTAGTAAAGTTCATCAGTTCGCAGGGAAGATGTCGAGCTCCGACTCGATGTCGCAATCTCAGTTTCAAAGGGAGCTGCGATCCAAGAAAATGGAATCCATGACAGAGGCAAATGTTAATCTGATTATTCAACAAATAACTCTCAATCTCACTAGCACTATTGATACAAAGTTTTCACAATTACAAGACACACTCAATAGCAAACAAACGTATAACAATCAACTCAAATAAAATTCTAAAAATAGATCAAAGAGTTGATTTTCTCGAACAATACACCAGAATATGTAACCTTAGAATCTCAGGCCTGAACATAATATGGAAGAAACGCTTCATGAGTTTTTGACCAATAAACTTAAAATAAAAAACTCTACAACCTCTGATAATGAAAGCACATTTAAAATATCTGATGAATTTGTGTTGGTGAAGTTTGCCACATACCAAATGAAACAAGCAGTATTCAAAATGAAGAATACACTCAAAGGCTCCAAAATTACTATTAGAGAAGATTTGACTCCTTTCCGTCATAAAACCGCAATACTGGCTGGCCATTGATGGAAAGCTTTGTATCAAGATAAACAACAATATAGTGAAACCGAGTTTCAACGATTTATGTAAACTGATGGAAGAAGCTCTCCACTCGGATGAACAAGAAAACTTATAACTGTTTTTTTTTAAGTAATTGTTGGTGCAGTATCTGAACTCTCTTTACCAGAAAAAAAATCTGTTTAAAATCTGTTTTTTCCGTTAATCAGCTGTCGCCCCATACGAACGATAACTCTCAGAAGTTGAGAAATTTGTACGAGCTGAGGACTAATAAGATCTTACCTTTTAACGTGTGATTGAATAATTTAATATTACTTCATCAACTTGGAATATAATTTAATGTCCTTCGATATGTTGATACATTCAACTCATATAATTTTTTTTCTTTTTATAATGGTTACAATGCTTTTTATATCTCAAGTTTCAATAAAGATTTTGTGTTTATTTTTACGCTATCATAAACATTCATATAAATTTAGTATTCTATGTAAGTAGCAGATTATAGCCGTTTCTGGGCCTCCCCCCACCACTATGACGTATTAATTGCTTTTTTTTTGTTTGGTAAAATCAAGGCGATGAGACCTTGAAGTGTCTGGTGCATGGATCATTCAGAATTTTTTTTCATGAGATTTTGTGTGTGTGGGACATACTGACGTAATTACATTTGGTTGGTGTGTGTGTCAGAATGCACGGTACGGGGTTTATTACGTGCGTGTCTGTGTACAAAAATACGTCTGCATACTTCAAAGATCCTCCAAGTAATCCATCGGTGTGAGCCCACCAAGTTAGTGGTGTGACATCACAGCAGCAACCGTTCAACGGTAAGAGAGCGAGATGTTCACTCCACGACGTGATGCTGAGTAATGTGTATTCATCGGTGTGTCCTCACCTCTCTCTCGATGAGGCGATGGCTGTGACGTAACGCATCGCTCTACCCTCGCTGTCGATGGTGATGCGAAGGCGGCGTGAACTGTGTTAACGTCTGTCTTCTACGAGAGCGCAACAACCACTGTCTGTTCGTATCGATATCTGTTAACACATCTAGCTGAGAGGTTGGATTGGCGCATGTAGCTGAGAGGTGAGGTTGGCTATGACGTCTTGACGGACCCAATCAGACTATATCTAAGAAGCGGACGAGTGTTGGTTGTGTCAATTTACATCAAGTGAGTTAGTGAGAACGTATCATAGAAAATGTATTCCTGTGACTGTGGTAAATCTTTCACTGGTAGTGATAATCTTAGTTGGCATCAGCTCCAGAGTTGCCAAGGAGGGCCTTCAGTGAAACGGATGAGAGTGGATAATGCAACACCTATGAATACATGCAATTGTTGTAACGTGACATTTCCTATGACCTAAGTTAATTCTCACCGAAGAACCATGAGTCATAAAAATAATGCATGTGATGAATTGTCTGAAGGTGTTCAAATTATAACGGATGCATTCAATTGCCGCATTGCTACATACAGGGTGGAGAGTTCGATTGTATCCACTGACTACATGTCTTTTTTTAATGAGATTAGGCAAGCGGTCATTGAAT